AAGAGGTCAAGCCTGCAGAAGAAGTCAAGCCAGCTGAAGAATTGAAGTCCGCAGAGAAGCTCAAGAAGAAGAGAGAGAAGAAAGCTTTGGAAGTCGTTGTTCCAGAAGAGGAACTTGTAGAGGTTGCAGCCGAAGCCGAGATCAAATTGAAACCAAGTCTTATTGATGAGGAAGAAGGGGAAGATGAGTTTACGGGCAAGACTGTCCTTCTAAAGAGAGGCGACAAAGTTGCAGAAGAAGAAGATCTAGGCGTGGATTTGTCGAAGAAGCGGCCAGGTGAGAGGAGCTTGTTTTTTCTCATACTTTGTGTCAACGATTTTGCTTATTATTTGCCAATTGCAAGTGAATCTCTCTTTTCAGATACCATCATCATTGAACATCCTAAAGCACAGACGGTCATACAACAGCAGCAGGTGTGCGTGTTTACTTGCCACCTGAGCCAAGAAGCTACAAGTGTGCGTTGGTTCCGTAATGATAGAGAGCTGTGGTCACATCTTCCGAAGATCGAAATCCAGACAACGGAACTTGAGACCAAGCTTATCATAAATGAAGTAGACCACAAAGACATTGGAGAATATTACGTGTTGCTTGACGATGTTGAAGAATCTCAGCCAGCACAGCTCATCTACAAACTAGCGCCCAAACTGACCTACGAAGGTCCCACGGAAGCAATAGCTGCTGGCAAACATTTCGATTTCGTGGTCAAATTCATAGGCTATCCCACGCCAGAATTCGAAATGACCCTGAATGGCGAAGATCTGAAACTTCTGGCTAATGTTGAGATGTACGATGACTTCATCTCCTTCCGAGTGAAACATGTCAAGGAAAGCGGAACCATAATAATTCGAGCCAAAAACGAAAACGGAGAGGATAAACTCGAGATCCCCATGCACATCATTGATGTACCGTCTGCCCCACTTGATCTTCAGGTTAGCGACATCGGAACAACGACAGCAACACTTTCATGGAAAGCTCCGTTGTATTCCAATGGGTCAAATATCAAGGAATATTTCGTCGAGCGCAAATCAGTGGAGTACTCTCGTTGGCGTTCTGTCGCACGACTACCAGCCGATAGGCTTTCGCTAAATGTGGATGATCTGTTCCCGAATGATCTCTACGCATTCCGTGTTAGTGCTGTAAATGACATCGGACAGGGCCATCCAAGCAACCTTGTGGAAGTGCAAACGTTTGAGGAAATTCAAGAAGAAGTGATAGAAGGTGATTCTGCTCTTCCTGTCTTATGCATGTATCAAACGTTCAATGGAATTAATAGAAATTAATAGACAAAGAAAAAATGAGGCAACCACTTTAAAATTATATCAGTTGATGTCGCTCCACGAATTTCATTCGGGGAGGAGAGGGACAAAAATGCATCTCAAAAGTAGTAGCTTTAGAGGCTTTCCGAGCAAATTTATTCAAATGCTTCTCATTTTTTGCAAACTTATGGCCCCTGAATTCTTCTTAAAAGGCCGAATTATTTTGTTCCTTTATAGGAAAAAGGAATGATCTGCATAACATGATAGCGTAATCATATGGGTCCACCTGACAGCTAGAAAAGTTTTGAATAAAAAAATTCCAAATAACTAGCTTTTTTTCAAACTGATTTCAAAGTACACTGCATGGAGTAATGCTAAAAGAACGAAAACTAGCATCACATTTGAATATTTTAGAAGAGCTCACTGAAGAAGTCACAATCGCAAAGAAGTCCCCCAAAGATGAAATACCGGAAGAAGAAATTGCGGAGACGATGAGGCTTCCCACGAAGCGTGAAGAAGAAATCACTGAAATTGTGGAAGAAGAGGTTGGTTTTGGCTCTTATTGTCAAGAAACTGATTATCAGCGTAACAGTGACTGTCAAAGCGACCATTTCAGGAACTGCTCAAGAAAGTGGATCAAGAAGAAGATAAATCCGCAAAGAAGAAGGCCAAGGTTCCTAAACGACGAGTGGAAGAGGAAGAACTGGTTGAAGAGGAGATAGTTGAGAAAGTGAAGCCAAAAGAAAAACCAGAGACCAAAGTCGAAGAGACGAAGGTCGTCGAGGAAGTGGTCATTCAAGAAGAAGAGATAAAGGAAGAGAAAGCAGTGAAGAAGAAGCCGAAAGGAGATGAAAAGAAGGCACCTGAGGAGACCAAAGTCAAAGAAGAAGATGCAGCGGTGAAGAAGCCAAAAACTGAAGCAAAGAAAGTCGAGGAAGCAAGCGCTGCTGCGAAAGATGAGAAGGCGCAGGAAGAAAAGAAAGAAGAAGCGAAAGCAAAGAAAGTAAAACCAAAGAAAAAGGCACCTAAGAAAGAAGAAGTTGTTGAAGAGGTCATTACCGTCACGGAGGAAGTCACCGAGACAACACATGAGTTAGTTGTAGAAGAACCTAGCGACAAGAAGAAGAAGAAAGTGCCAAAGGCACTTGTGATACCCGATGAAATAAGTTCGAAGTTCGGCGAACCTAGCACACTTCTTTCTGAAACAATCATAACAAAGAAGATTGTTGCGAGGGAAGGAAGCGCTGAAGCAGTATCACCGATCAAGCAGCCGCAATCGGCTAGCATTGCAATTAAAGTCGACAGTGCTAGCAAGCTTCGATCACGAGCAGGCACTCCCGAAGAAAGTGAATTCACCTTCAAACAACGATCACAAACCCCCGAAGGAAGAAAGGAGGAGGCTGCTGCAAAGGTGAAGCTGCGCGGTGAGGCTGACGATAGGACCGGCCTTCCTCCTAAACCTGGCGCTGAGATTAAGCCCAAAGAGGAAGTGAAACCCAAGGAAGAGGCCAAGAAGAAGAAAGAAGAGA